GGCTAAGCTCCCAGCCTGGGGATGCCTTCCCATGTCCTGCTGGCAGGTACCTTCTTGGGATTTGCGAAAAACAAAGCTAACCCAAAGCTGTGTGTCTGGTATTTTTGGAGACAGCCACCCACACCACTGACGCTCCGGTCGCACCTCACAGAAAAATGTGCATTTTTGTGCCTGCTCTGCTCAGGTAAATCCTCCTGCCCCACCTCCATGCTTCACAACCGTGGTGGTTCCTGCTCTTCAGGCTCTGTGGTTTTCCCTGGGCCCCTGAAGGGCCCCCCAGCTCTGCCTCCCCCCCCCTCCCTCCCCCCCGGCAGCCGCAGCCCCCACTTTCATACCCCGGCTCCCAGAGTTTGGGGTGAGCTGGGCAGCTCCTGGCCTCCATCCCAAACCAAGGGGCTCCTGTGGGGCTTTCATGATTCCAAGTGCCCGGCTGTGCCTTGGAAGCCTCGTGTGCTTGGCTCTGCAGCCAGGCTTACCCCAGTGCTGTGCCAGGACGGATGCCCAGCGTGGACGAGGCGTATGAGGACAGCCTGCCCCTGCTCCCTGCCCGGCGCCCGCCTGCGATGGCCGGAGCTGCGGTGTCCTCACGAAAGGACAGCCTCACAACCTGCTCTAAAATTATCCCTGGGATTGAATTGCCCTGTCACCACTCAGAGAGCTGTGGAGCCATGTGCTGCCTGCAGTGCTCCAGTGAGGGCACCAGGCAAAGCACAGAACGGCACAGCATGGCAGGGATGGCATGACATGGCGCAGCACAACAAGCACGGCATGGCACAACACAGTCCAACAAAGCAAGGCAAAGTCCACTGCTGCCTTCAACCCACACTCTGCGGATGTCCCCAGAGCCCCTCTCTGATGCTCAGGGCTGAGGGCAGAGCAGTTCTGCACGACCCTCCCATAGCTGCCAGGTCCCACGAGTGCTGGCCGGGTCCCCAGGCACGCTGCCATACAGGCGGCCCAGAAATGGGAGCTTTTGTCTCTGAGAACACTGCTCAATAACACACGGAGGGTTTTGTAACTTCAGAAATCAACTATCCCTAAGAATGCATTAGAAAACTCTAAGAAGTAACTGTTTGGAAATTTCCATGTGACTTAGAACCATCCCAGAAGTACTGTTGGGCTGTACTTTATTGTATCAGAAGCAGTGGAACATTCTTCACTGGCAGCAAAACATTAAAAAGGGTGGGAGGTGATAAAATAAATGCTCAGAGCTACCATTGGGAAACAGCACTGCAAAAACACAGCCAAGGACTCCAGGAAGGGAGAAGCGTTCTCCTCCCATAGCACGGTGCTGTTTGCTGGGCACCCTGTGCTTCTGGTGCAAAGCTCTCCTTCTGAAAGGGAAGGCAGAAGCCCCCTGGGCATTGTTGCATGCTCACAGTCACAAGAGCTCAGGCTGATGACTTTGTGGAGTTGCAGTGCAAAAAATCCCGCCTGTCTGGTTACATGGAGAAAATCAGCTGGCCCCACCTCACCTCCAGAACAGTCACGCACAGAAAGAAATTGCCAAGAGAGGAGAAACTGAAACCCTTGCTGCTCCATCCACAGTATCCAGTGAGCCTCAGCCGCCCTTGATTTTACAGACTCCAGTACCCAGCAGCAGGAGCAGCATCACCCAGCAGCACTGCAACGCAGCAGCAGTGCCATGCAGCAGCGGCTGCACACCCAGGCACTGAACTCACTACACATGCAAGCAAAGGCCACCGAGCCAGCCTACAGCACCCAGCCCTGCTCAGCTGCACACACCCAGAGCACGGCCAGCTTCCTGCTGCCCGCAGACCCCAGCTGCCTGCACGGGGTACAGACAAGGCCAGGAAATAAAGAGAGAACAAGAAACAGGAGGCAGGCACCAAGCAGGCTGTCAGCCCAGCATGCCCAGCTGAAAAACAGCTCCTGTGGTCATCTGCAGGGACCGAGCCACAGCCCCACAGGAATGCATCTCCGCACCACCAGAGCGAGGTGCTCGCTTGGAGGATTTTAATAACCACACTCTTAAATCACCGTGATCACACAGTTTACTTCGAAAACTTCCCCCATTGCAGCTGAAGGATCCATCGGTGGTAGAAACACAGGCTTTTCTGCCACGTCTTCTAAAGCAGCTTTCTGCAACGTCAAAAGTGAAGAAAACCAGAGATCGTTTCAAAAGAAAGAAGCGCCCATGCAGGGGTGGCAGCAGGCAGCCGCTCCGCTCCCTCGTGCCCAGCGACAGCGCCTGGCGGGGAGCAGCCCTGCTGACTCACAGCACAGCTCCCGCCCCGAGCGCTTCTTCCATAAAAATAAACCCAGCCCCAATAAATCAGCGCATTCCCATAGTAAAACCCTGATTGGTGGCTGGGAAGGAAGAGCCTTCGTCCCACAGCTGAACTATTTCCCTCCGGGCTGGTGATGGAGGACCAGGACTGAGGAAGGCAAACCCCTGACATGCAGGCACAGGCAGAGCGGCTGCTGTGCAGGAGATGTGAGCAGCAGGAGCACAGAGCAGGCCTGAGAGCACGGCACCGCTCACCGCTGGGATGGGGAGCCGGGTGCACAAAGCTCACACGTCTCCACCCCCACAGACAGCGCTCAGTTATTTAATGCCACGTTTTAAGGCCACCTCGCAATGTATCAGGGCTCACTGCAGCAAAACAAAATCGAGAAATCCCCCTGCATTTGTAATTCTTCACCACTGAACCACAGAATTATTTAGGTTAGAAAACCTCCGTTCCCTCAGCTGCTTCCAATAGGATGTATGCTCCAGACCCCTCACAGCTCCGCTGTCCTCCTCTGGACACAACTGACTTTACTCCAACAAGTCTATTGAGATCAGCAGTTATCAGTTCTATGAGAAGTGAATAAACCAGGGTCACCATGCCCACATCGGCCGGGGGCCTGAGACAGGGCAGCCAATGGCACCAAGCCCATCCACCAGCAGCAACGGCACCAAACCTGCCTGTTAGACAGCAGCAAAGCAAAGAGGTAAAAGGCTGTGGTCAGCGATGGCTGCATGCAGTGTCCAACAGCTCCTCTGTTTCAATGGTAACTTTAGACACAAAAAAAAAAAAAAAAAAGAACAAAATAAATTCTGTTTTGAGGTAGTTTTTAATTTACTAAGCTGTGCTGTTGCCGCTTTATGGAAGGAAGCACCACATCCAGGATTCCTTGCTTGTTCTCTTAAGGAGTTCTTTGTTTAAAAAGAAATCCTTTTTTTTCCTACAGGAGGAAAGCAGGGCTTCCCATCCTCCTCACACCTGGGGCTCTGCAGCTGCTGTGCTACAGGCACTGACACCACAGCGCAGTGAGCTGCCCCGGCCTTGAGACAAGATGGGGCAGCCCTGACCCACAGCCAGAAACTCAAAGAAAACAGTGAAGAATGCAAGAAAACAACAAACTCCTGAAGAGGAGCTCCACGATGGGTCTCACAGGTCTGGCAGAGGGTTTGGCACAGAGCTGAGGAAGCACCAAGAGCAAGGCAGCAACACAGCCTGCCTGCTGCCACGCACCTGCACTGCTGCTCCTGTAACTACAGTGGAGCGATGGAAACTCACAGCTCCAACAGATAACAGCAACTGATCTCAGTGCCCAAGGGCATCTGGGAACTACTGCAGAGCCCCAGCCACTGCAACTGCTTAACGGAACAGGGCCAGCTTTGTACAGGTGCTATTTGCACATCAGGGCAGACAGGACAGCGCTGTGGGACACTGGCACCACTCAGGCTGCTCTGACCCCAACCGTCCCACCTACACCTCCTGCTGCTGCCCTCAGCCTGCCCAGTCTGGAGTGGGGCTGAGCACCGTGGGCCAGATGGAGCCAGCTGCAAGCAAAGGGAACAAAACAATCTGGGTCCGTTCAGCTACTGCAGCGATGCAGAGGAAACCTAGCAATAACATTTTCACGGGACCACAAATGAAGTCAAAAACAGATATTTAAAGACAAACGAAGGCATCTCAGCAAACTTTAAAACCCAGCTTTGAGCACAGAGCTGTCCTACCTGTGGACAGGAACCTCCACATCACAGCGTCCCACGGTGGCCACCAGCAGCACTGAGATCGGGGAACGTGCAGCCTTGGCACGAGGCCTGGCTGTTTGGGGCAGCAGAGGTGGTGGGAAGAAGGTGATGCCGATGGGTGACAGCCAGAGCCCTGCTCTGCACATGTTGTGCACTTACCTTCAGCACATGCTGCTGCCCGAGCGCCGCACCCCACGCCAGGCAGGACAGCCGTGGCCAGGCGCACCAGCAGCAGCACCGAGCCATTTCTGTGGGGACTCAGGAGAAACTGCTGAACACAAGTGTTCACCGCGGGCTCCTAAGGGCCTGTTTGCAGGGCTGGTGAGAAGGGGCTGCGCTGCAGGCTGCACGGGGACACGGGGCAGGAAGGCCACCCCATACAGACCCGTGTGGACGCAGGGAATCAGCCTGGGCTCGAGGGACCACGGCTGCGGGGCTCAGAGCACATCTTCGTGTGTGCAGGAGAGGAGTTCTGTGGGAAAATGCGCAGCCCAGCAGGACCACGGCAGGAAGGAAATTCCCCATGGCAGAGCCGTCCGCGGTGCGAGGCTGTGTCAAATCCAGGGGACTGCACAAATAACTCCGCCATCCCCCGGGAGTCGTTGCTAAGGTCGCTATTTTTTCCCTTGAACTTTTCAGATGAAGGAAGCAATAGCAGAAGCAATGGCACAGATTTGGCTGGAGATCAACGGCACTGACAACAGTCATAGATTTAAGTCAGAAGAATAGTCCTTTGTGCTTGCTGGAGTTATCTCCAGATGGGTCAAGCAGTTCAAACAGCAGCTCGGGGCTCTGCTTGGAGCACACCCTGCAGGCGCAGGCTGAGCAACCCCCCCCCCCATCAATCCCACTGCTCAGACCGAGACGTGCAGGAGGCACCCCGAGCAGCCATTAAAAATTAAAGCATTAAATTGCATTCTTCAACAAACTGCTGGGATTCAGAGCGAGAAACAGCCCTGATTAAAGATTAAGGACGGTGAGCCTATAAAACACTAATTACCACCATACTTACAGTGAGTTTGGCCTGTTGGGTTTAATTACTTCTAGTTCGAGATCACTTGAGTTCAGGTTGGATTGAGGCGCGCTGTTGGAGTTGAGGAAGCTGTTTACATTTGAAGAGATGACGGATTCCAGGCTGGAGTTGATGATGCTGTTCCTGTTTTCCTCTGGAAAACACCAAAAAAAAACCCCAAGAGTTGCAGGACAGAGGCAGCCAGGCTCCTGCCCATCACTCCTGCCCCAGTGTAAATGCAGCAGCATCCTACCAGACCTCCACAGACAGGCACTGAGTTCCCACGCATGTTTTCTATGCACTATGCATTGAAGTATGAGAAGTAACAGTTATTCTTTTCTCTTTCCGAAGATGCAACAACATTTTAAACAAATAACATTTTTAGCAACAAAATACTGATCTTTCTCAAGATATTAATGTTTTACATTCCCAAGGACTTCCAAAGGACCACATGACCCAAGAAAGAAAGGGATGAGACTACACACAGGAATGCATTTGTCTGTGGCTGAAATCAGGTACCACAGAGGGGATAACAGTTACGGAAGGAGAAAAGGACAGATCACCCAATTAAAGTTTATCCCAACAAAAAAATGCTTCAGTCTGAACATAACATCAGCCAATAGCTGCCTTTCCTGCCCAGGTCCACAACCACCATGCAGCACTGCTGATAACACCAGTGAGGAGAGAGGCCTGCCCTGCTGCCCAGCTCACTGCCCACAGCCTGGACTCAGCTCTCTTCATTTCCCTTCATCCTGCCCTGCTAAGAGATGCCCCCCTTATTTGTGTAACTTCAACACTGAGGTGTGAAAACATTATGCATCCCAAAGCAACCTCCCCAGCATGGGTTTCCTCCTCATCTCTGTGCTGAATTACCTAAAATCACATTAATTCATTTTCATAAGATGCTTTTTCCGTATAAGCAGCAATTGTAATTGAGAGAGGCAATTATCATCACTGATGGCACAGAAAGCTGCTCTACTGCAGAGAACTGCCACTTCTGTGATGATGTTTCCTGAAAGACAGACAACTGCTGGAAAACACAAGGAGTGCTCCTTTAATGACAAATCTTTCAAAGGAATTGTATCTCCTGTGCACGCTGATATGATGAAATTGCTACTAAAAAGCACACGGTCACAAAGAAGCCCCTATTCTCAAGCCCATCCAACTATACATCCCTTCCAATTACACATCTGCATTAGGACAACAATTAATACTTGCAGAAGGAGAAAGCAGTGTAAGAGAAACTCCCGAGCTACATGGAGAGCTGATCCTGAGCACACAGCAGAGAGGAAACCCTGCATGCCTGGAAAATAGCTTGGGAGCAGTGCTGCCTCAGGGTCAGGGAGGTGGGATGCTGGGTGAGCCCTCTGCCACTGTTTCAAAAGAAAATGATGACATGCCCAAAAGGACATGGCTGCAAAGGGAGGAGCGAACCAACACTCCTCGTCACATCGCTCATCGTGCCATCGAGTTCTTGTGCTGCCTGGACAAAGTCAGAGTGCTTACAAGGCAGCGAGAGGCTCAAACGCCATTTAGATCAGGCTGCCATCCAGAGATCAGCCAATGCCAAGGATGAGATAATTGCATCAACACACATTACCAGCTCCTGAAACTGCATGCCATGAATCTTGGTCTCCAGCAGACTATCAAGGGAACTCTCCAAACACTGACTGGAAGACAGAGCAGCCAGCAGATGAAATAAGGGAGAAATTAACCTGCCAAAGGGCCTAAAGCCCCAAAAAGGTCGATCCAAAGCACTCCTTGATCTTTGCTCCCAACAGCACAGCTTTCAGAGCCGTTCTGTGCACGGCACGGCCCAGCAGTGCCCTGCAGCCTATTCAGGTGCCACATCCAGTTGTTTCTAAACATTTTCTGCCTGAGGCTAAAGTTCAAAAATAAGCTCTGTAAGCCTAACAAATCAGTGTCAATTGTCTGTGTAATCTCAGACACAGCTACCAGCCAACATTGAATTAAAGTCCCTATCAGCCAAGAAACTGGAAGTGTTTCATCTACAGAAGATGGGAGATGAATGGCAGGATTGGAAACCATCCCTTTATTCTATTTCCTCCTTTCTGAAAGTCTGATACCGCGTTCAGTTTAAGCAAAGGATTCTTTGCTAAGGCTTTTAGCTCAGTCTCACAGCTCAGGGAGCAGAACAGCAAACTCCTGCTGTGTATTTCTGCTCCGTAGCATGCAAGACAGCCGTGTGCAGAGTGAGATGGGAGGAGGTGCTGACTCCTTCACCAACATATCCGGAGCACCAAACAGACACCAAAATGGAAAGATGATCCTCAACGTTTTTAAACCATCATAGCACCTACTCCACAGAAAACTACAGAACATCCTGGCCGGGGCTGCTATATCTGTAAAAGTGCCTGTGGGCATCCAGAGAGAAATAAGGATCGACTTTGGACACCCCACGGGCTCTGCCTTGTGCCCTTCAGCTGCTGGGGACTTGGGAATGGGGCAGCAACCCTATAGCACACCAGTGCAGCCTGCACCAAGCCTGCTGCAGCCTGGGATGCCAGGCAGGCATCGCACTCCCCATCAGCACAGCAGCACAGTGACCAGAGGCCCCGTCCCCTTACAGGACGCATCTTTCATCAGCACCAACACAGCTGTGCTCCACGCCAGGGGAACGGTGCTGTGCAGTGACACGGGGCAGGGCTGGGGAGGGGGCGCTTACGCTTCTCGTTGGGCTGCGCGGTGTGGAACAGGGTGAGCGGCCGCTCACTGCACGATGGGGGCTTCGAGTCTGCGCTCTTCTTGCGGGACAGCAGCAGCTGCGAGTTCGACGGCGGCGTCTCCGGCACGGTGTTAAATATCTGTGAAAGCCAACAAAGAGGGCTCTTCAGCATCAGGATGCTCTGCCCTCAGCATCCCACCATCACACCAAGGAACAGCGTTAACGGAGGTCATGCATTCAATAAAGTAACACGTGGGACATCGTTTCCTAAGCTCCACATTCTTATTCTGTTTGCGCTCCTTTTCTCTCCTCTTCACCAAATGCACACAGTGCAAAATGTGAAAAACCCCAACAACCTGGTAGGCTGCTTCTAGTGAAGGGCCTGCAGTGCCCTCGCAGGTGGTGGGAGAATGCTGTGGGCAAGAACCCCAGCAGGCATCCAGGTATGCAAACGTGGCAGTGCACAGCTGGACAATGGTAGGGCACAGCTGGACTAGCAGGACACAGAGGCAGAGTGACACCGAGCTGCCTCCCAACCCCTTAAGGGTGGCACACAGCACCAAGGCTAAATGTGACCACTCTCAACAGAGGAAAATCGAGAGCTAGCTGCCTGTCCAAAAGGACCAATGCTTATTTTGAAGCTCTGAAGAGGGAGGAGTCAGAGGACCCAGAGCCATATAACAGACAGAGGTGGTCTTGCAGCATCACACCCCTAGAAGCCCTGCCAGCCTGCCCAGCAGCACATGGAGCTCTGCTTTCCTTCATTTCAATGCTTCTTCGGTTTGTTTCACTTCTCAGCTTAAGAAAAATAACTGAGACATGCTCCGCACTGAGCAAACCTGCGTTCTAACTCTCCCATCCCAGAATCCAATTAACAGAGAGAGCGAGACAGTTTAATCATCAGAGTGGGAGAGGAGCAGCCAGGCTCCATAAATTACACATACAGCCCCCATGCGCGCTGTGCAGCTGGAGGCTCCTGGAGCAATCCGCGCCCCTGGTGGAACGCAGCCAAACCTAGGAGATGCTCCACAAGGAGCTGCCCTCCAGCCTCAGCTGGAAGCTCCAAGGCCAAGGGCGTCGCTGCTACAAAGCTTTGCTAATTGCAGAAAATAAAGATGAGGTGCTGAGGGCTTTGACCTCAGCGTTAACTCTGAGTACTGACTGAGGCAGCGCTGGGGTCTGGGTAACACCCTGCAGAAACCAGCCCTGCTGGTGGGCAGCAAGGTGCCACTCACAGGTCAGCTGCCCCCTCCTTGGTCTGAAGGGAGCACCAGCAGCACTGTGCATTGATCTCATCATTTCCCAACACTTCATACAAATTGCTTTTTCCAAAGCATTGGAGCTGCAAATTTCCAATACAACACTGCATCCCTGGTTTCTTGCAGAGGATTCACTCTCAGTTTGCTTGTCATGGTAACATCCTGAGCCATAGCAGAAAAACCATTTTATCCTTTAAAAGCACGCATCCCACACGTGTCCTGCAGCAGGTTACGCTGCTGCGTTGCTCTCACAAACATACACTGCACATCTGCCCCAGCTCCAGTGCTTCAGGGCTCCCATCCACCCCACTGCAGCTCTGGGCACACTCACAGCCCAGTGCTCTGTGCCTCACTGTGACAATAGCAATTTTAATGGGAGAGGCGTCCCACTTACCTGAGGGAAATATAATGTAATACCAGACAGTCGCTGATTGCCAGGAACCATTCAAATCAATTACATTTTCCCTGAGAATGCACTTAATCATAAACAGTGGCTGTGAGTCACCAGCGTAAAACAATATAAAGCAGCAGCAGCGCAGCACAGAGGGCTCGCATATTGCTAATCACCTACAGCAGCTCCTGCAGGGAAACTTCAATGAGTTCCAATCAATTCAAATTAAGGAATACACTGAAACTAAACAGTCCTAAAGAGGGAGTGAACCAGCACCGGGACTGACTTTAGAAAAGATTTTCTTCCCACTTGCTGCCTCCTGCCACCTCCCTCTTTCTTGGAGAATCTAGGAGAAATGGGGACATGGGTCCAACAGCATCCTGCATGCAGCATTACTGTGCCACGCGGTACCCGTGCCTTTGTGCAGGCAGTGCAAACAGCATCTCTCCATCCTGCACCATCAGTACCCAGTGCATGAGAGCAGCCGGGCAGCACAGACAGCACGCAGCACTTACGCCCACCCGCAGTCGGCGTGACGGCAGCACACAGCCCAGTCACAGCCTTCCCTTCTGCTGGTGCCATAAATTACTCCTAAGGAAGGGTAGCCATGGAAGCACTCGGGAGCCCTGCGGCACAGGTGTCATTTTGCTGGTGAGCAGCACTGCAGCCCACACAGACCATCACTGCAGAAATCCATCATCGATCCCCCCAGGTGCCACCTGATGGAGGAGGCTCGGCTGGAACTGAACAAGAACCAGCCTGAGGCCCTGCTGCTGCAAGGACCTGCGAGGGGAAGGCAGCCATAGGGCTCAGCGAGGAAAGAGACAGCAAAGTGCACCCACAGCAGTGACACAATGCTTGAATGGTTTCTTGGTGCCACTGCTGGGACACTGCAGATGTACAGACGGATGGATGGACAGACAGAAGGGTGGATGGCCACCAACAGCCCACAAGGCTCATGCCTGCTGCTCAGCGCAGGGCTGGGGCTCAGCCACAGGCTCACGGCTGCTGCTCGCACTCCCCTCTGCAGCAGCACACGATTAAGCAATCACTGTAACTGCACCCCACAAAGATAAGAGAAAATAGCTCCTCCAGGCTAAATAAATACCACGATGTTTATCTGCCTCTGGAGGAAATTTCTCCAACAACACGCAATCCATCCCTGCTGGACATGCACTCGCTGCCCCTTGGCAGCACCAGGCAGATGAGCCCCAGGGCTGACACCTGCACCACATGCATGTGGGACTCAGCCTTGCAGCTTAACACATGCAACTGATGGGCTAACAGACTCTGGAGAGAGCCCCGAGTAGCATACAGCCCCGAGCATCACATCCTCCTTAGCCCAGACTGCTTTCATATCACAGGCACCCAGCAGCACTGCATGGGAAGTTCAGCAACACACCACCTCTGGACAGTGGCCCTGCAGGATGCTCTGCCTCACCGCCACTCCATGCATGCACAAGCACTCTGTGAGCAATGCTCGTGTTCAGTGTTTTAGTGCTGCCGTTTGCTGAATTACATGGCCTCCCACAGGCACTCATTTGAGAGCCTTCTCCTGTTGTCACCCTGAAGGTGACCAGAAACCCAGGGGTCAGTGAGTGCCCAAGGCAGGATGTCCTCCAGCTGCAGCAGAGCTACCACAGTGCTGCACCAGCAGAGCCAGCAACAGGTGGGAGCCTCCTTGCAACAGACACAACTGTGCCTTGTCACAGCAGATCAGCGCTGTGGAGAATGTCAGTGCTTGGATGTAGTCAGAAAAGCAGGAACCGAGTTGGGCCCTTTATGGCTGCTGGCCACAGTCAGCAAGGAGGGCCCTGGGGAGGTGGGCTGCAGCTTGCAAAGTGACAAATCAGGTGTAGGAAATAAACTGTAGTGATAGAAGCAAGTAAAGTCTTTACCTTCTCATGGTTTTCTATTAAAATCTCAATCACAATATTCTGAAACTTGATGTCCATAATGGCAGCGACTGTTTCCTCCTGGGGTCGAAGAAGCGTCGGCCCAAACACCACACCCAGATTAGCAACAGTCATCAGGTTCTGCTTGTGGTTATCTGCAACTCTGCAAAAGAAAACCAACAGAAGTAGGTGATGGGAGCAATCAGGATGGACCCCCATCCTTGCCTGGCACCAGGCTTATGAGTCCGTTTGCTTTCCTGACACTTCTGGGGAGCTTCAGCCATGTGGAAAAGTACAGCCTCAACGGTTGTGTTATGGCAGGCATTGCAGCTCAGGATTTGGCTAATCCCATAAAACCCCAACGCTTCCCCGGCCACCGAGGCTCATGTTGCAAACCACTCCCAGGAAAACATCTTGAATCATTAATGCTTGAAACCCTTCTAAAAACAAATTGTTGGACCTCTGACACATGCTGCTCTCCAGCTGAACAAGTGACCTCATATGTTCCAAAATCCAATCCTTTCTCACCCATTTTTTTGCCGTCACGGCTCAGCCCCATCGGGTTGGCTGCAGGGGGCCGGGCGAGGAAACCTCCCAGCCAGGAACACACGGACACTGGAGCCTTGCTCCCAGACAGGCCACATGGTGACACGTCATGCAGTGAACGCAAGTCACAAGGAGGTGACAAGGAGGACGTGCAGCAGGAGCCCACAGCCCTATCACCACAAGTCTGTGGCTTTTTCCTGCCCTCTTCAACCAGGAAGCTCAGTGACTTCAGACAGTGTCGGCACAGAACTGTATCCTATGTTTTTAGAGCAATGCCTTTTCCCTGTCATCTCTCTCCCTGGAGAGCACATGGGACCACATGGAGAGCACAGCAGGACTCAGGCCCTGCAGCAAGTTATTGCCATGAGCTTTTATTGCTGATCACAGCACTAAGATTGCAGCGCTCATCACGCGTGCAGACGCAGCTCATTTCAGCACAGCGTAAACTCAAAATAAAATAAGCTATCTATCCTTCTCCATCCAAGCCTCATTTGAGTCAGAGAAGAACTCTTCACTCCTCATCCTACACAGGGCTTCCTGGGTAACAGCAGGGGCAGCAGCAGATCTTGGGATGTTTGGAGCTCCTGCCCCACGCAGTCTTGTCCCCACACTCAGTGCAGGCAGGAGCCTGGTCTGCTGCATGTTCCAGCCCTGCAGCGCACACACCAGCACACTGACAATGCCAGGGCTTGTGTTCCAACCCAAAGGTGCAGAAATCCCTTTTACTCATCACCTTCCCAGTGTCAGGAAGCCCTGGACGTTCCTCACGGTGTCTGAGAAGCCCCCCCTGCCTGCAGACTGCGGCCCCACAGCCACGCACCCAAATCCCTTCCCTCCTCCCACACCTCCCTAACAGACATTTACAAATGCCACAGGAATTTTCACCTTGCAGCACAATCTGCATTTCAAACACACGCTCCTATGCTCCCATTTGGGTCTCAGAAGACTGAAACCGAAATAGTTGTGAACAGCACTAATAAAATAATAATTGTAATGATCTTCCGTGGTTACTAAAACAATGTTCATTTATAAAAAAAACAACCAAATTGATCTAAGTCTTACAAAATTAGGTCCCTTCATTTCTCATTACCATTATCACGCGATACATCACTCTAATAAATTGCCCTGTCATTGACTTATTACCGCCAGGCAGCCGTATCCAGTCCCGTTAATTATTACAGACTGCAGCATTAATGGCTTCCCAAGGAGGACAGGGCCCTGCTGCACACACAGCCCCGCTCTGCTGTGCCCTGGTGCTTCGGCTCTGCAAAGGGCCAACATTTTGTAAGCATACAGCCCTCGGTCCCTGCTGGAACAAACAGGGTGGTACAGCAGCGCTGCGCTGCACCGCGGGTACTTTTCCACCAGCCGCCTTTATAATGGTTACTAAAGCTATGCTACAAAACATGATTCACCTTTCACATCCTTCACATTCCACATCCATTATCCACAGGATGATTTACTATAAATTATACCTCTTCATCTGCCTTTGTACCAGCAAATAATGCCCTGGTTTCTAAAGATGGGGTGTTCTCAACCAAAGTGTCCCTAATGCCGGTGCTTTTCACAGATGCTTTCTGCAGACATCACTCGTTCCACACCAGAGCTGCCCTCCAGAAGGTTTACAAGTATTTGCTGCATTTTCCTTTTAACCTGCTGTTTCTTCCTGGCCCTCGGTGCACTCTGAAATCAATTGCACTGGCAGTAATTTAGCTGGGTCCCTTCTCAGGGCTCTCTCCACCCACGCTTTGCAGTCTCCCGCAGCACAGATGGGAGCTGGGAACCCAGCACAACTCCCTGGGTAGCAGTGGCCGCTCACAGCTGGGTTCCAGGCTGGTTATGGGCTGTCCCTCCCAGCGCCCACTGCCCTGCCAGCACCCAGTGCAGCATCACAGGCACTGATGTAAGCACTGCCTCTGCTGCAGCCCTGCAGCACCGCTGCCCTGAGGCCATGCAGCCACTCAGCTTCGCATTCACTCTCAGAAAAACAAAGGAGAAGGGGAGCAGAGAAAATCCATGTTGTATGCTAAATTAGATTATGCCTGGGTTGCTTGGATACTGTATAATCACCGGCATGACCAAACATAATTTAATACAGAGTAATTGGTAGTCAGGCTTCAGTGCAGGGGAAGCACACAGGAACGGTAAATATTTCTTTTTTGCACAGGCTTGAAATCAGCATCAGGTAACAAACGCGCTGCAGCGAGGCATGGCGAGCTGTGGGAAATGCTGCCCCAGCACTCCTTTATTTCACAGATGTTAACAAACCCAGTTTGTCCAGCCTGGTCCACAGCTCCTACTCACTTGTACAGAAGCCCAATTATGGGACCCATTTCGCTGCCCACTGACCCACAGAGAAGCCTGTGGTGTGAGAAACCCCAGGAGCCCTGCACAGCAGCCAGCCCACACCACAGTAGTGGCCCAGTGTCCCAAAAAACAATGCAGCCAGCCTAACAAGCTCTATAGGATGGAAAACAACACTCACACCACACTGCTACACAGTGGTCAAACCACATTTCACGTCTATCACCACCAGCAAAGCTTCCAGTTAACATGAAAACCTGATGGGGGGTGAGCAGCCCTACTGCTGCTCAGGCTGCTACGGCAGTTTGCTGCACACTGAACGTGGAGATGAACTACAGACAACGAGCACAGACAGCACAGACAGTTGGGTGGCAGAGGCACTGCTGCACCCAGCAGCACTGGGGGGAGGGGGGTCTGGGGGGTTTCCGAGGGCAACCAGGACCCCCTCAACTCCCCCAGTCCCATCCCTGCAATCTGGGTCACACACACCCCCGGACAGAGAGCGGGCAGCTGCCTGAGCACACAATTGAAGGTATTTATGGGATAAAACCTAATGAGTTCTGGGAAATGTTCCTGGGTGCATTCAAGTCATCCCTGCACATTATGGAGCTTAATTGGGCTGCGGCTGATGAGCGTGTAGGTGGGAGCGGGACGAGTGTTCAGCCCAGCACTGCAGGGGGGCAGCGGGATGGGGCAGGGGAGGGGGCACAGAGAGGCGGTGCTGCTGGGAGAAGGGCACAGAGGGCACCCAGGACTGGGGACTGCTGTGCAGAGCTGCAGAGGGGTGCCCAGCATGCAGCCCAGGAGCTCTGCCTGCAGGGACGCAGCGGCAGCTTTGGGGCAGCCTGCTGGAGTGTCGTACCACAGCACGAGGCGCCTGGAGCTGGAAGGGGGATCGTCAGTGAGGTCATCAGTGGGAACACCAGTGTGATCCAAAATCAGGAGGCCCTAATGTGGAGATTTGTCAAAAGCAAATGTAAATCAGGAAAGAAACAGCTCAAGCTTGAAGACAGCACTGAGGGCAATGATCACAGATGCATCTCCAAGTTATTCTAAGGAGATTTTTTTTGCACTCAGCAGCAGCTCTTGCACAGCACGTGTGCAGGGCTGGAGCAGGGCATGGACGGGCTGCAGTGTAGCTGGGGCAGCTCCAGCTTCCGAAGCAGAGAGCACAGACACAGAAAGGACACACACCTGCACACTGCACGGCCCTCGCTTACCCCGTTGTGCTGATTAAGGCCTGGATATGGCCTCCCAGGGCCAAAAAGGCTCTATGAGCTGCTGGGATGGGATGCAACCAGCAGGTCCGGAAGGAGAATGGATCGCCAGGGAAGCACAAAGCCTTCCAGCACAGACAAGGAGAAACATTCTAAAAACAGTTGACAAAGTGCTCGGCTGCAACACCGAGAAGCACAGTGCTGCCCAGCCAGCAGCCTCACGGCTCTCAGGTTTCCCCGCTCTGCGCTGCTCGCTGGGAGCCGTCCTGCTGCAACAAGGCTCCCTTCTTCTCGCGGGTGAATCTGGCCACAGCTGGAGGCTTGGGTTCGCTCCCAGGGCAATAAAAGTGCTGGTATCACATTGAACAGATGCACAGGCCAAACGCTAACTTTGGTATCGGTAAAGCTCATCAGAGTGAATAGCGTGCACGCTGCGACTTGCAAGTAAAGCACGCGTGGTGCTGCAGCACAGGCTTTGCAAAGCAAACCTTCACTTCTATAGGCAGCATCTCTGGCTTTGGGCAAGCCGAGCTGGATGCCAGATTTCAGGGGGAATGCACTGCAGGAGCAGGGGCACAAGGGGGTGACAATGGGGGACACTGCAGCCCGCACTGCCGCTGCAGCACACGCTCATGGGAGGAGGGACGGCACCGAGTGCAGCTCCCATAGTGCACGCCCCGACCCCAACCTTCTGCTCCTTCCCTAATTCTGTGTGTGAGCACAGAGCTCATTTAGAGCTTCAGCCCATTACGCTTAATTACATCTTTCCTCTAATTACAATAACAATAGTCACTTCTCCCATTAGGGACAGCCCTGCAGTGCAGCTTTAGCTGTGCCGTGCAGCAGTGCCAGTGTCCCCGTGCCCCCATGCCCTGGCACTGCCACTTATGGTGCATGGGCTGGTATTTGGACAAGAGCAGAAATCACCAGCACTTTCACACTGCAACAAGAAAATCAGCACAGCCCACTGCAATAAAGCACCAAGAGAGAATGGATAGGCTTAAAAAAAAAACAAAAACAACCCTGCTCAGTCTTGATTCAACCTGTTTCTATACACGGTTTCAGTTTCACTGTGATAACCAATTACAAAGAATCC